TCGGCGAATGGAGCTTCGTACTCCCCGCCCCTATCACTCCTAATCGCTTTAATTTTGCGATTGAGTTGATTTTCTACTTCATTCTTATACCGAATGAAAGTGTCCAACGCCTCATCTTTACTTTTAAGTAAATAAATATAGCAATACTTCGTGCTATCATCGACAAAAGTGATAACATATTTGTTACCACCTCTTGAAGGCGTTGATTTGAAATCACACAGATCCGTGTGAATTAAATCCAGTGGCTGAGTGGTTCGCTCAATTGTTTGAAACGAACTTCGCGTTGACTTTGCTTCGACACACGTCTCACATTTGTGGGACTGGTCGATGTCAAACTTAGGGATATATTCCATGTTAATTAATTTCCGAAGAGATGCATAATTAACATGTCCTAGTCTTCCATGCCACACATCGGAAGACTCACAAACATAGGCAACAGGAGTTTTATTAACTTTCTCAACAACGGTGAGTACATTAAGCTTAAAAAGCCCATCAGAAATATAACCTTTGCCTATGAATATTCCCTTTTTGCTCAAGATCAGCTTATCAGACTCGAACACCATGCGGAATCCATGTTTGTTCAATAGTGAGCCTTACACCAAGTTTTTCCGTATGTCCGGCACATACAACACATCATTCAGCGTGAGCTCCTTGCCGGATGTCATCTTGAGCTTAACTTTGCCCACGCCTTGAACCTCGGATTGGGCGGAGTTGCCCATCCACACCTTGTCGCCAGAAGTCTCCTTAAAGTCAAAGAGCATGGCCCGATTGGAGCAGATATGACGAGTGGCTCTTGTGTCTACCCACCACTCTTTCGGGTTAGACCCGACCAGGTTGACCTCTGTCACGACAGCACAAAGATCCATGGCATCTAGCTCCGAGCAGAGAGCTTCTTCCTTCTTCTGCTTCTTCTTCTGAGGCTTCATGCGGCACTCTGAAGAACGGTGGCCCGTAATGCCACAGTTGTAGCATTTCCCCGCGAACTTGGGCTTCACGACGCCTCCTTTAGGACCAATTTTCTTCTTGTCCTTATTTGGCTTGGGCCCTTTGGAAGAACCCTCGTTGGGTGGATGCTCCACCACATTGGCCTTAGCAACAGCTACTTTCTTCTCGCGAGTGAGACCCTCTTCACGGATCCGGAGACGAACAAGCAACTGTTCTAAAGTCATTTCTTTCCGTTTGAGCTTGAGATAGCTCCGGAACTCATCCCAAGCCGGCGGGAGCACATGAATAATCGCCGCCACTTGGAATGCCTCACTGACTCCCATTCCCTCGTCAGTGCACTCATTAAAAATGAGAATCAATTCTTCAGCTTGACTGACCATGGGTTTGAAATCCACCATCTTAAAATCCAAGACCTTACCGACAACGAATTTCTTCGCACCGGCGTCCTCGGCCTGATATTTGTTGGACAGTGTAGTTCATAACTCCTTTGCGGATGCAGCCCTGCTATAAACAGCATATAAGGCATCGCTCAAGCAATTCAGGATAAGGTTAAGGCACGTATAGTTATTCGCTATCCATGCCTCTTTAGCCTGAATTATTGGCTCGTCCGCGTTCTCCCCCACAACAGGGGGATCCTCCCTCAAATACCTCGCAAGGTTGAGGGTGGTCAGCCAAAATAACATCCTTTGCTGCCATATTTTAAAGCCTACACCTGTGAACTTTGCCAGTTCTTTGACAGAGTTCGCAGGGAGCATGATAGTAGGATGTCCGACCGGTGCGGATGTGAAGACACCCGTGTTCGGTCCTAGTGAGGGAATGACCGGTATGGCCGAAGCCATATTCGATCCGAGTGGGGTGACCATTGCGGCCGTAGCCGCGGTTGGTCCAATAACCGAGGAGACCGGAGCGGACCCCATAGTCGCGCTCGATCCAACGAAGGTGGTGATCGGAGTGGACCCCATGGCCGCACTCGATCCGAAAGGAATGTTGATTGGAGTGGTCTGCCCTACAGAGCCACCCAATCCAGCCGAAACGTTCACAACCGGAGTCTCGGAACTACTCTCGTTTCTGGTGTGAGCGTCAAAACCGAATCCGTCCATACCCGCCATTGCGCACGGATATGAATACTACCTTAAGATTGTTAAAATTCTCGTACGGATTACAACGGACGAGGAAGATGAACGGCCCCGGAAACAAAAATAAGAGGTGACAAGAATATTTTATTTTATCAAATATTTAATGAAATCGCGTAAACAAACCAAAGTTTTGGAGAGGAGAGAGAAAAATTGTAATCAAAATGGGGACGGAGGGAGTATTTTATTCTTCATTTTTTTGAAGTTCTCAAAAAAAATTTACTTTTTTTTTTCAAAAAACAAAAATTGTAAAATTGTGACGTACATATGCATTATATGTTATTTTTTTCAAACAAAAATAACTTTAAAGTTTAAGAACATTATAAAAATAATTTTAAAAAAACCTTTACTAATAAATGAAACAAATAAAGGAAAAAAATGGGAAAAATAAAATAAGCGAGAAATAAAAATCAACACTGATACCCCTATGATTTAGAAAATATGCACCAATGCCCTCCTTCTTCGCTGAAAAAATTGTCGGAAATGATCAGAGGGGGCACGGGTGTAGCATTTTGAAACCCCAAGGACTTCTGAAATAAATTTTGAAAACAGAGGGGTAGTGGTGCCTATTTTGCAAGCCACGGAGTGTACTGCCGCTATTTGGCCTATTGGTGTGCTTCATTGCCAATAAATTTGAGCGAATAAATTATGGTGATGAAATGTGTCTAGCCGTGCGTAACTCAAATGCCACATGTCATGTCACGCGCGTGTATATTCAATTTTATATTAAATAATTATTTTTTTATTATATTTTATAAACCCTTCACTTTCCAACAATAAATAATCATTATTTTTTCTTAAGTTTTTTAAGCTTTTCACTTTCTAACTATTTTAGAATTATTTTTTAATTTCTTTAACATATTTTTTTAAATATGCACGATTGTTTTATAACTTAATAAATTATATAAATTTATTAATTTTAAAAACAATGTTGCTTGTAATTTTAAAAACTATCCTCCATCTCAAAAGAAACTATTATATATAAATTTTATCACACATGCATCTTTAATAACTTCATAATATATTTCAATTTTTTATCTTATTATATTTTTTATTTGATTATATATTTTTCAGCAAACTAAACAAAGTGAAAATTTATTTGAAGGATTACATGTGACACATGGCAATATGCATTCGCTAATGATGTCATTACTTAATTGATCCATTTGACATTTTTCATTTTAATTATCATTAATTAAAACAATTTTCAGTATTACTCTCTCTGTTCCTGAGTACTTGTCCACTTTTAACTTTTTTCAGTCAAAACTGGTGAATTTTGACCTTAGATTAAATAAAAATGATATTAGATATTGATACAAAAATAGATTTATTATATCAAATATTCTCAAAATATTATTTTATCTAATTAATATAAAATATATATTTCATTTAATTATAGGTCAAAAATTGAAAATAGTTGACCGAAAAAAGTCAAAACTGGACGAATACTTAGGGATGGAGGTAGTATTTTATTTCATAATCATCAACTTTTAAAAAAATAATTTTACGTCACGCGTGCACTACACCTCGCCCGTGTCATGTCACATGTATATATTTATTATTATTAAATTACTTATAAAAACGCTTCCCTTTCTTACATTAAATAACTTATTTTTATTGAAGTTTTTTAAACTTATTATATAAATTTTATTACATATGAATATTTATTAAATAAAAAATGTATTTCAAACTTATTATCCTATTAAATACTGCTTTGTATATTTTACTATGCAGAATATATTTTGAACAACCTAAATAGAGCAAAATTAGAGTTGAAAGATGATACGTGTTGCATGCGATATATGTATTTTCTAATTATGTGTCATTATTTAGTTGATTCATTTGAAATTTGTTATTTAATTTTTTTAATTAATAATTGTTTCTTTATGATTTTATTCAATGACCATTTATTTTGTATAAACTTTTTCGAATCACGCGTGCACACCATGCCATGTGTCATGCCACAAGTGCGTATTTATTTTATTAATTTTTTGTAAAACCTCTTCACTTTCTCACATTTAATAACCTTAATTTTTATTTAAAAAAAATTATAAACCGTCACTTTCTAACACCAAATAACCATTTTTAATTATTTATTGACCCTTCACTTTTGAAATTTTTTAAAAATATCTATTTACCTTATAATAACAATTTTGTTTAATATGCACAATTATTATTAGATAGTAAAATAATATGAAGTTCATTAATTGAAAAAATGTTGTATATGATTTTTAAAACTATTCGCCATTTATTTTTTGTATACTTCTCAACAAAAGTATTACGGTGATATAAATTTTATCACATATGCATTTTTATTGTATACAAAACTTTTTTTCTCATTATATTATTTATTTTATTATATATTTTTCAACAAACTAAACAAAGCAAAGGTTGTTTAAATGAAGGATGACATGTGACACATGCCACATATGGGTTTTCTAATGAAGTATCATTAAGTAATTGGTTCAATTGAGATTTCTTCTTTATTTTTTATTAATAAAAACAATTTTTATTATCACTTCAATCAATGACCACTAATTTTGTATAATGCTACCCGTGCAAACCATGTCACATGTCTTGCCACGTGTGCACAATAAATTTTACATTGAATAGATATTATTTTTATTAATTTGTTAAAACTCTTCACTTTTTAACATTAAATTACCACTATCTTTATTAAAGTTTTGTACTTCTCCTGTCTCAATTTAAATTGCCTATTTCGGTTTACAATATTTGACTGAAGTTATTTTCAAATCATTTTATTTGAAAAATGGTGTAGAATTAAAAATATATATAGATATTTATAAACTACATCAAAAAATTTACAAGACTAGTGTGACATGGCTATATTATTTTATTAAGTGACTAGTGAAAATAGGAAAAGAAAGTGAATAAAATTTGATCCTATAAATAGTAATCAGGTAATTCAATTTGGAATGGAGAGAGTAAAATATTTCACTTTCTAAAATTAAATAATCATTATTTTTATTAAATTTTATTATTACAAAATCTCTGAGCTCAATGCTTATTATTTAATACAAAAAAAAAACTTGTGTGCCTTCAATTTCTCTGAGTTCCCTGGCAAGAGATTTTGCCTCCGCGCGGTCGTCTGGGCACTGGTTCAAACAAGTCATCACTATTACGGTAACTTTAACACCAACGTCGCTGTCTTCGGTTAGGCATTTGTCCACGATGAGTTAATGGTGCCAATTCAGAGTAGTTGATGTTCTTTACTCTGTCCAGATCAATTCCTTTGAGAGGAAGTTCAACGGCCAGCAGATAGTTCTCGGGTTAGAAGAGGAGATCGTAAGAATGCAAAACATCAAACTTTTCCAGAAATTCATCTTTCCTCTTATTGTAATCTTCCCTTTCAACCATAAGCATCTCCTCGTGATGATGGTGTGGTCTCAAATAAGAACACTTTCTTTATTGTCTTCAAATCCTAACAAGAAATACTTGGTTCCTAACAAAAATCATTCATCATCGGAAAAAGAAAAAGAAATACTCTAAAAAAACATTTGGGGTACTTGAGTTTTTGCAAGCCCCAACGTTGTATACAAAGGGAGAATATATTATGACAAAAAACAGCACGTCCACGGGAAACTCAACAGTCATGTGCGACAGTCTAGAGCCGTTTTCAAATGCCCCCTTGCTGAGGTGGCATCACCGATTTCCTTCTCTTCACTTTCTTCTTCTTCTTCTTGCCACTTTCCCCTTTAGATGCCTTTTCACTTCCAGGGAACACTGTATCCTCTTCAGCTATGTCATTTAGGCTGCTTTCTTTGTCTTCAGACATCTCTTGCTCCTCTGGATGTTGATGAGCTTAGTAAAAAAAATAAAAATTTAAATTTAAAAAATCCATATTCCAGCGTAAAAAGAGCTTAACATTCACTTATCGTATATTGATCTTGCCTGTTTTCATGGTCTTCAGCTTCTTTTCTAGCCTGGGGTCCTTACCGTTCGTCCTCCCGTTGGTCAATTTGTTAGACACCTCTTTGCATTCATGTTGTGTATCATTCATATCTTGTTGCTCTGGCAATCGCAGTGATGCAATCTTTTCATATAAAAACAATACATATATATATATATCTCCAATTTTCAACCAAATCAACAAAAACAAAGCAGAGCCTACTTATCATATCCTCTTTTACCTGTTCTCTTTGTCTTTCGCTTCTTTTTTTGACTGGGGTCTTTAACATCCTTCTTCCTTTTGGTTGGAAGTTCAGAAACTTCCTCACATTCTTGTTGTACCTCATTCACAACTTGTTGCTCTGGAGATAAAGGAGATGCAAAGTACATGGGTGTACATACATACATACATACATACATCAAATTAGCAAAGTATATGTGTTGGCAATTTGTGCCAACACATATATCAAATTAGCAATTGAACCGTATTCGTACTGACATTAAGGCTTAGATATCAACACTTCCCACACATGTAAAATTTTACCTCTTTATATAAAAAATGTCCTCTTCTTTTGGATCAAAATGACTTCAGAAAAGTAGCATATGGGAAATATTAACGCTAGTAATTGAATCTTAATGGCCCTTAGGATTGAGCAAGTACTGGGTCTTAGTAAAACTCATTGATTACTTGGATAAGTTCATCAAACATTTTGCCAACATATTTTTCCCGTAAAGAGTTCATACAAGAAATAAGATACTAACCCTCATAGCAAAAATGAGAATCAAAAACAAAATTAGTAAGATGCTGCTTCAAGAACACCTGCATGGGAATTCAAAAGAGCTTCAGAGCGAGCAGGCAACCAAAACAACATTACAAATTCAGTAATACATTTTTTGCATGAAGATAACCCTATAACTTCACTTAAAAAGTTGTAAATTTATATTTATTCCTCAACAGCAGCTTGTCAACATACCGCAGAAAGAAGTTGCCTGGACTTGACATCCCAAATGCGCAAATATCGGTCCAGCCCTATGAACATTAAAAGTTTTTCATATCAATTTTTCTTCTTCGGAGAGGAAGACTTCTAGAGAATGAAGAAGGTAGACTAAAGAAGAAGAGAAATTCTTGG